GTGCCTGAATCTGTTTCCTGCCCAGCACTTTTTCCCCCCATTTTCTTCCTCTGAAGCTTAAAAAAAAAATAAATCCTGGCTCCTACCAAGTCCTTACAAGATTATTTCTCGAGTTTCTCAGATTGTGTCCCTCTCTGTGGCCTGCTTTCTGGGCTAGAATTGACCTTCTGATTCTCTCAGTTAACTCTGTGTCTGTATCTTTGTCTGTATCAAAGGGTTGCCCTCTTTCCTTTGGCTCCATAGCTGATAGTCCTGTCTTGATAGTCTGTAAGCAATTTCAGGGGACCATAGATCACTGTAAGACCTGGGAAAGGAGATCAGTCTACAGTCCCTCTTTAGCTCCCAGACACAAGCCCTGGCCCACAGCTAGACAGATAGAACAAGAAGAGTGGCAGCCACAGGCTGGGCTGTTCAGACACCCCAAGACTGAAAACATCCTTTGAGGGGGGGAGGGAAATGAGGACATGAAACCTGCTGTGGCACCTATCATTCTGCTAAGGACAGTGAAAACACAGTCTGTCATACTTGACATTTTAATTGAAAGGAAAGCTTACATAGATTTCAGCCGTAAGCGGTGTGTTTATACAAGTGTATAGAGAAGGGTAATCTGTCAAGTTGGAAAACTCTTAATGCGGCCTCAGTTCAGTAATTGAACAATCCAACATGAGCTCACACATTTGCCCTGTTCCACGCCTCAATAATTTTTAGTAGAAATACTTTACCTAGAGGCATATGGTTATTAAAAAAAAAAAAAGGAGGCTCAGCTCGCTCAAAGTCTGGAATTACCAGCTCGTGGCAACAAGCCTGCACTAGAGCGAAGACCGTCAGGATGTGTTTTCACAACGTGCCTGCTACTTTGCCATCTGATTTTCAGCATCTAATTGACATGTTGTTGGAGAGGTTTTTTTCATTTATTTACTTTTTAAAAAAAGGAGAACATAGGCTTTCACATGGATGAATGATTTCTCTTACTAGCAGTATTTGGAATCTCACTATTTAGTGGTACGTTCAGGGAGTGGGATGAAGATCAAGAGAAGTAGACTATGAATTTATTTTATCATAAAAGTTGATAAGAACTTAGTTATAGGAGCCATGGAGGTGTGAGATGAGGGAAGCCCTGCTCCCTTCCATGATGTGTGTAACTGTCGGCCAAGGAGAAATAGATCTAGATGTAGTGTACTCCCAAATACAAGTGTGAACAATATAAACCTACCTACCACACTTAATTGCTTCAAGTCACATGAAACCCGGATGTGAAAACATCTTGAAGATTACTTGAAAACACCAAGTGAAACAATTTTATTCAAGAATACTATAGATTAAATATGAAAAAATTAACTACACACGAAAGGAATGAGATAATGGATACAGGTATTATGTTGCCACTCTGGCTTCTGTGGTGTGACTATTGTGGACATGTTCATGGTTTCTTTGGGCCTACTGATGGGCACGATTCTTTGTACGTTTATTTAGTGTTTGCTAGTTTGTTGTTTAGTGTTGCAGGATACAACTTAGGTTCTCACACATACTAGGCGCACCTTGTCCTCTGACCTACTCTCCCACACCGGTCTTCTCTGTAAGTCATGATGACCGCATACAGATCTTGCTTTTTACTGCTTGTAGTTTTAAAAGCCCAAGCAAGGAACCCAGAAAACTCCGTTAGTTTGATAGAAAGGCTTGGGAAACTAATTTACAGGATCTATGTAAATCAATAACATGGAAATTGTTTAAGACTCAGGCACATAGGATCCCAAGTAGTCATAGTTCCTTCCAAGTGTACAAGGCTAATTGGCCTGATTGGTATCACATGGAAACTCTTCTAGTCCCAAGGGAGCCAGGTCCTTGAAAGGATTTCTTAAGCAAAGAGGAAATATTTGATATTTTCAAATCTAGTAGATCTATGCAGGGTGTGGAAATAACTAACCTAATTATTGGATTAAATGAAGTATTCCATTCCCTAGTGATTCAATACACTTGGGAGTTTCCACCCTTCGGAAAAGAGCAAAAATTCATTTTAAATTGAATTACTTTGACATTTCCATTCAATATCCATTGGATTGTTTAATTGGATTCCTTCTTTAAAACAAATAACACATCAATACAATCTGCTCACCAAGGCCTTTTTTTTTTTTTTTTGATATATCAAGTTAGAAACAGAAGGTAAATGAAGATAATAGGTATGCTGTCCTTTGGTCATGAGCATGACCTTGCAGACCAATGTAATACATAGAAAAGATTTCAGTTGTCTCAGAAGTTTTTACTGCACTTAAAGCTTCCCTCTGGTGACCAATACTTGGTGAAAGATGATGTCACACATGTATAGACGTGCTTGCATGGACATCTATTTAGATGGGGATAGCTGGCTGAGAAGTTCTGAGGAGTGAATGTTGCCTCTTGTGAAACTGTAATTCAGATGATAAACTTTAACATGAGGGAGCTATTAATGAATTGTTTTTCAATGATGTAATCATTTTAATTTTATGTGTAAGAGTGTTTTGCCTGTGTGTATGTATGGGCACCACACTTGTACCTGCTGCCCAAGGAAGCCACTGGAGAGAATCAGATGCCCTGGACCTGGAATTTTCAGATGGTTGTGGGCTGCCATGTGAGGGCTGGGAATTAACCTAGGCTCCCCTGCAAGAACAATCAGTGCTCTCTACCACTGAGCCATCCCTCTACCTCTCAATAACTTTTCTACAGACAACTCTTTTGAGCAAAGTTCCCAAGCACACGTCAACATGGGGGCTCTAAACAAGTGTTTGTTAACTGAGTTCCATTCTATGTTTCTCAGACTGTGTACACCACTTGTAAAGAAACTTTGAGACATAGTAAAGTCACAACACCCTGCAGCAGTGGTTCTCAACCTCTGTAAGAGTGTGACCCTTTAATACAGTTCTTCATGTTATGGTGACCCCCAACTATAACATTATTTTTGCTGCTTCTTCACAACTGTAATTTTGCTACTGTTATAAGTTGTGATGTAACTATGATCTTAAATGACCCCTATGAAAGGGTTGTTTAACCCCCGAAAAGGGTTATGATCCACAGGTTGAGAATCATTGTCCAATAGTGTTTTGGGACAGCTGAACCCCAAAGCCTGATGGAACTGTGGAAGCCCCAAGGACCTTCACACCTAATCCAGTTCCAGTGGTCAGTCCCCTTTGCAGAGATTCCCAGGGCACATGTCAAGAACTAGTCTTAGTGGTTCATTTGAAATGACGCATCCCACTGTTGTAAACTAACCCACTTGTCCGTATTCACACATACACTATGAGTGCAGGCCTTTATGTCCACCCAGTCTCTGTGACATGCTTTGTATTCTTTCATGTTTTCATACATGTACCTTCCTGGGCACATCAATCTTGACTAATTGTTGTCTAATCCTTCTAGGGTCTCTGTAGCTGTGATAAGTAGCTCTGTTTTCAAAGAAAGCTCTCGGGCAGAAACTAGGGAAAACTTAATCTTCTTTGGCTTTTAATAGTATTGTGAAGGAAGAGTATGCTATCATTCTTGGCCCATCTCGGTCTCCAGTTCTCTTTGGGTCACCAGAACTTTATTGCAGAATAGCTCCTTCCATTGCTCAGCTGTGACTCTGAACTGGCCTCTTCTGGTTCTGACAGCTCCACACAGTACCTCCTCGGTGCCTCGATGGGATTCTGGAAGGCACAGTCTGTTGGGCCTCTAATGTAACACGATGTACTGCAGTGCTCTAGACAGTGCTGCGGTGCTCTGCTGAGGCTCTGGACAGGCCCACGGCACTGTGGATTGAGCAGTGCTGCTAGGCTGAAGTTCTAACTAGACTGTGATGCTCTGACTAAGCTCCAGCCAGAGCCTTGTGCTGTTGTGGGGCTGTGCACAGGCCAGGGTATTTTGTGTTGAAGGAAGGTGGTGACTTACACCAAACCCCTCTGCCTGTAGCCTTACCCAGTTTTTGGCACGAGAGGGCACATGTTTTATTATCTTTAGAAATTTTACTGACTTGGGAAGTGGAACATACAGGATTAGACTGTTGAATGTAGAAGACCCAGGGATTGTTGTTTGTTGGTTTATCTGCCATTGACTTTAATTTCATGGTTTAATGTTGATCCAACTCCATATAGGAGAAGCACAAGGAGGTTGAGAATTCAGCCACAGAGTTACTTGTTTGCCATTTTTAATAAACACAAATAATTTTTCCCTTTCCCTCAACTCCACATTCCTTGGCTCATTAAATCAATTTCAGGCCCTTAATTTTTTTTTTTTTTCTTGGCAAGTCGAAGTAAAATTTCAAACTATGCATTCCCTTGAGGAATGCTCACTCAAATCCTGCAGATCAGGCCCAAATCAATTTCTGTCAAACAGCCTAACACCTCACATTATTGTGAAATGGGAGAGTGCTAATAGGGGCTGAACTCTGGACTTACCCTAAGAACTGCTGAGCTCAGTGCCAAGCCTGTGGTCCAGCTGCTTTTGTTTGTGTCCTGACGGTGTGTTTTTCCACTCATGATAGAACTACGAAAAAGGCCAAAATGTACTTCTGCCAGGCATAAGTGAATTGAGTTTATGCTCTTAACTGTAGAATAACTACGGACCTAGAGCAAAGCCAGGCAGGCTTCAGGGCAAAGGTGAGAGCTAACATACCAGTGTTCCCAGATCCTCCACACTAAGACCCTCTGGAGGCTGAGACTGGGGTAAACGGGTCCTCCTACTGTGGACTTTCTTCTTTAGAAGCAGAGGCTGTTGGAGACACATCAGCATGTTTCCACTGACTATCAGTTAGATAACGGGTCAGGAAATGAAGCAGAGTTTGATGTATTAACTAGGAAGCAGCAAAGGAAACCAGGCATGTATTTTATTTGTTATTATTTCCCTAATATCCTCAATTAGGTGGCTCTCACATCAGAGGATCCGATCTGTTTGACTGTGTTGTTAGTGTCCCCATTGGTTTTGGAAGCTCAGTAACAGACCCAGGCCATCAGGAATAACGTGTTTTGTTTTGTTTTTCTTCTCTTCGTCCCCAGGCCTGTTCCAGGCTCTCTATCATCTCTCCTCCATCTCCACAACAGACAGAGGCAGCCCATGCCAGCTTCCATGCCTGGAACCCTGCCCAACCCCACCATGCCAGGATCGTCAGCCGTCTTGATGCCTGTAAGCATTTTGTGGGGATGGGAGGACTCACAGTGACTTCTCACTAGGACTTCAGTCCTAGAGTGGAAATTTAGAGCTGAGATCTGAGCTGCCTGGGAAGAAGGTAGCTGCCTCTGAGTGCATTTGAGCTGTGGGCCAGGTTGCATAGGGTACTCAGGGGTCCATCCTTAGGCATTTCCTTGTTCTTTGGGGCCTTGCTGTAGGGCAGGCAGGGTCTATTCCACCTGTTGGTGACAAATGAGCCCACCACAACTAAGGAATGGAATTTGTTCAGTAAGATATTGTTGTATAGCTATAGTCAGCGCTCTGTCTGGGATTCCACACCCACAATTCAGTCAACCAGGGACTGAAAATATTGTTTTGTTTTTAAAAACAAAAAAAAAACCCAAAACCAAAAACCAGTTCTTCTCAACATGTGCAGAATTTTTTCCTTGTTATTATTCCAAAACAGTGCAGCCTAACAACTTTATAGAGCATTACTACTGTATTAGACAGGGTAAGATGCTACAGAATAAAAGGGAGGGATATGCAGAGTCTATGCAAATACTGTGCCATCTACTACAAAGGACTTGAGCAGTTTCAGATTTTTGACCTCAAAGCAGAGACTGGTGTTCTAGCGCTAATTCCAGGGGGGTTAATGGATGGCCGCAGTCCCATATCCCCATCTTGAATAGCATACAGGTCATCAGATGGGCAGTAATGATTCTAGACACAACCCAGGGCATTAATTACAATGATTACATATAATAGCTGGGAATCTGGATTTATGCACATCATGGTCTATAAATGGTAGCCCTTACTGGGTATTTGCTGTATGCTGGTCACTTTGCAAGCACACTCATCGTCAGCACATGAAGCAGTGCTCCAGGGAGGTCCCCATCTTTTGAGAGAAGGAAGTTAGGCCAGTGACTTGCTCATCTGAGAAGCAGAGCAGCTGGATTTTGAACTCAGTCATCCTGGCCCCACAGTCTGCTCTTTCAACTACAAAGTGACAGGCACATCCTCTTTTCATTCATCGCAAATGTCTGAGGTACATGTTTGTATGCTGACATCACAGATGAGAAAATGGGGGCTCACAGGACTCCTGTTCCTGACTTAAGGGTGTATATCTGGTAGATGATAGAGTCAAGATCTAAACCCAAGTAGTCAGACTCCTGACTTATTTATTTTTGTTTAAAATAGGGTCTTACTACACAGTTCAGGATGGCTTTGAACTCATCTCTGTCTCCTAGTGCTAGGAGGGCTGCACCATTGCACCTGACCTTAAGAGCATCCACTCTTGATGAGCGTATTGTACATACTGCTTCCCCTCTGACAACACGGGGAGCTATAGTGAAGCAGAAGTCTTGCTCTCCTTCCTTAGGGCACCCTCCCTTTCCTAATCATTTCCTGGCATTATGTTTGGAAAGACAGGATCATGGGGACTTTTGTAAGCCCTAGAAGCTGTAGGGCAGCCCAGTTAGCAACTTTCCCCCAACACATTGAGCATGAACATTTTAGCATCTGAAAGGTTGTCAACCTGGTTGCTCCACTTTGTTCTCATGGCGATGCCTCGGGGATTCACTGTAATTTCTAAAAAGCTCACTTACAGAGGAGAGGTCGGAGGGTGAGCACTTGAAGACTTGGTGTCTGATGTTAACACCATGATGGGTGAAGGCTGTGAGTGGAACCCACACCTCACTTCACGTCAAGGAGCTCAGATCATTCCTTAGTGAGCGACCGGCCGGGTTATCTGTGAAGTAGGCTGAGGAATGACGATCATATGGACTCAGTTCAGACAAACGGACCCACCCACTACAAATGCTTGCCGGTCCAGACTGGAGGCATCTTGCAAACTTGAGCTAGGGGATAGATGGAGGAGCAGCTTGCTCTCCCTAGACTGATTGACAAAGGAGAACAACACTGTTAAAACATAAATCCCCGGGTATGCTCAGTTCAACTAATTGCATGGCGATTTCAACCATAAGCTGTCTTCACTCAGCTTCTACTTGCCCAAAATAATTTTTTCTTTTCAGAATTTCTAAACAATAAGTAGAAAAATGTCACCACATGGATCTTTTATTTCTATATAGTTAAGCTGTCATTTCTAGGGATGAAGTGGGAAGCTGGAAGCCCCAAAAACCTAGTAGACTTTCCACTTTATCCGATCACATAGCTTGACTCACTGAGATTTCTGACAGATTTCTCACCCGAAACCAAAAGATTCAGGTGAATGGACAAGGACCAGTATAGACAAAATGTCAGGAACATGGCCCCTGCTGAAGTTCCCAAACTTCACGTCCACAGCAGGGCGCAGCTGTCAGGACAGCAGGGTCATCCCAGAGCGGTGATTCTCAGTGAGGGTGGGAGGGCGATTTTGGCCCTCAAGGGATATTAGGTAATATCTGTCACAGTAAGAACAGGATAGGAAGTATGATGTTTAATGGGTAGGGACTAAGGATGCTGTTAAATATGTCACAATACACAGGACACTCAACGCAGAATTACTTGACTTAAAATATCAATAGTACTGATGTAAGCTAGTCATAAAAACTGAAGTAGAATCTCAAAGAAATTATTCTTAGGATCTCCAGGCCCTAGACATCTAGGTTCACCTTCCTCAGTCATGTTACCAGCTCCTGTGCTGCTGGGACAATGTCTTCTGGACAGTTAATCAAAGGCTGTCAGTCAAGGGCTGCTTCTTCCCTTAGAGTGGCACCCTGAGAAATCTTAAGACCCTGGGCATCAAAGTTGTGATTATCTTTGGTGAAGGTGAGATTCTTAACTGTTTCATGATGCATGTAGATCCAAAGTACATTATCTATCTATCTATCTATCTATCTATCTATCTATCTATCTCTATTCATCCATCCATCTATCTATCCATCCATCCATCCATCCATCCATCCACTCTGCACAGCTTCTTGAGCCCCACAAACTACCAGACACTAAGGATACAGGGAAGGCAGGCACAACTTTTAAGGACTTCCTGAGTAGCGATTTCCTATTATCCTGAAAGTCAAATTCCTTCATAATTTGGGAAAATGCACACCCATTTCTCATTAGAAAAGGTTAGTAACCTGGAAACACTCTCTTGCTCTTGAGTTCGAGAAGAGAGGGGATCCCTTCATACAGGTATTTTGAGCAGTTAGAGATGGGAATCAGGGCCGCCACATGTTTAGTGGATGCTCTACCACTGAGCTACAGCCCAACCCTTGCCGGAGTCATTGACTCACAGTGGGAAACCACCGCTGGGCGTTCAGGAAGGCCATTCTGCTTCCCGTCAGCTCTTTCAAGTTAGGCTTACACTGCAGGCAGGATGCTGGCACAGCAAAGCCTTGGACACTGTAGCAACCTGTTCAGGTCAGTCAACAGGGTCTCCAGCACAGGAGTGAGGATGCACGTTTCCAATTCCCACTGTGTCCTTCACTGTATCCCGCTTACTGGAGCTCCAGCATTGAGGCGCTACTTTGTAGCCGCCCGAGCTGCCTCACATTCAGGGGGCCACTTTGTAACGGCCCATTCTGCTGCTCCGGTCCGCGGGTCAGGGCCTAGCAAGAGAGAGAGTGGGGATGGAGATGCGAAGAATGGAGACAAGACAGGGAGTCTGATCAAGTCTCGTTTATTGGAAGGAAATCCTGTGTATTTATACCCTTTACCATGTGCCTTGCCCTCGTGGACAAGCACAGCTGAAGGCACTATGTCATGTGCCTTGCAGCTTGGATATCACGTGCACCTAGCTAGCAGTGAGGACACCACGTGCACCCAGCAGCGTGGAGACCACGTGCACCTAGCTACTGGCGGCACTAAACAGCAAAACAAGATATGTGAGAAAAACAAGATGTTTATCAGAGTGTGCTCAGCTGTTGTGGGCTGTTGAAAACAAGTCTCTTGTCAGGGCATATGGCTCGAGATGGCTGCAAAGATGACAGCTGTTTTCTGCTAGGAGTTGGCTCTCAACAGGTCCCCCTTTTAAAATTTGTTTTCAAAAGGGAAGGCTGGGAAAACTTACGGAAACCGTGCCTGTCTTAGGTTGGAACAAAGGACCTCAGCCTTCCTTTCCCGTCTTTGGATACTCAACAGCCATTGGTTGAGCTCCTGTCTTAGGATGGTGAGGCCTCCCAGTTAGAGGCAAGGGTCTTGAGGCGTTCTCTTACCTGTCATTGACTATCTGGCTTAGCGCATAAGTTAGGGGTTAATCATCGTCAGTCTTGATGACAGAAGTTTTAGAGTCCCCTATTTCCACCCTGTAATAATGGATCTGTATGGGTTTCATTTGAATAGCATCTGTCTGTTGTCGTACAAAAGCCATCAGTCCATTGAACAGCATGGACCCGAGAGACAGAGACTTAATGCTGTCTGAATGGTTGGTGTAAACCATTCTGCCTCAGAGCAACACTCTTTTTTTAAGGGTAGAGCACAACTCCCTCTGTTGGAGGAGTAAAAAGTATAGGCCTTTTCTATTCTGTAACACTATTTTCTAAAACTAAATCTATATAAGTACAGAACTGATCATAGCTTTGATCTTAACAAAACAAGTAAGGAAATCCCTGTTCCTGCCCCCAATCAATCTCAAACCCAAAAAACACCTATAGTAACTGTGGTAATGGGTTCTTTCTTGGGTCTAAACAATGTACCCCACTAAATCATAAATCAGGGAACCAAGAGTCCAATAGAGCCACCCTGGAGGTGCAGGTGGTGATGTCTTCTTCTGCACAGAACTTTCCAAGTCAGGTATGCTGATTGATCCGCTCCAGTGAAGCATCTTCATGTTTCCTGCAAAGAAAAAATATGCTTCCCAGGGGATTTCTCCTCCCTGGATTTATTATTGTTGTCTATTTGTTTAATCAGTCTCTCTGGCAGCCAGCATGTGGCATCTGCCGTTTGAGAATCAGAGGAACCAAAATATGCATCAGAGGAATCAAAGCCTTGATCCCCTCTCTTAGTACTCTTATATTTATGATTAGTAGGGATCAATGGGATTAACAATAGTTGAGCTATCTTCCTTCCTGTAGGAATGGTGACTATATTCTGTATTGTCTTGGTCATTACCTTAATCTCACCTTGATAATCATTGTCTATAACTCCAGGAAAAATTTGTAGTCCCTGCATAGTAGCACTGCATCTTCCCACTATCAGACCAAACATGTTTGGATAGAGTGGTCCAAACACTCCAGTGGGTAAGGCTTGAGGTCCCATTTCTGGGGTTAATACTGTGTGGGTGGCAGAACTGAGGTCCAGTCCTGTGCTTCCTGGTGTTGCTCGACTAAGTTCAGAAAGAGGTTGTTGTTTGCTGGTATGAAACTGACTGCCCCATAAGCCTGTTTTGGCTTGTGTTGGTTCAGGGCCTGGGGCTGGCCCCGTTCCTGTTTCCCTGATTATGGGAAAGGGTGTTTCCTTGTGCATCTGTCTTGGACCTACATTCACTAGCCCAATGCCTTCCATGCTTGCAACGTGGGCATAGGCCAGGCTGTTTTCTAGGCTGTCTCTGGGTTAACTCATTCTCTGCCTTGTAATCTTTTGCAAAGTGTCCAGGGTTGCCACATTTAAAACAGGCATTTTTGTCTCTGCTTGCCAAAAATCTCTTACTGATTGTCCTTGCATGGCAGCTGCCATAGCTAAGCCCTGTTGGTAAGAGGGCCCTATGTCAGAACAGAGTCTGATATACCCAGTAAGGTCTGTCTTTTTCCTATAGAGTCTAATGGCTGCTTGGCAGGCAGGATTGGCATTTTCATATGCAAGTTGTTTCACATAATCTACACCTGCCTCTGCATTACCAAAAATCCTTCCTGCTATTGTCATTAATCGATGAACAAAATCAGAAAATCATTCGTTAGGCCCTTGTCTGACTGAGGTCAAAGATGCACCAGGGTCTCCCTTTACTGGGAGTTTGCGCCAAGACTTCATGGCTGCATTTTGAATTTGAGCAAATAAGCCTGGGTCATATTGTATCTGGTTATCACTAGAAGCAAATTGCCCTTCTCCTACTAAGGCTTCAAAGGACCAACCATTGCCTGCCTGAATATTTCTCCTAGCTGTCTCTTTACAATTCTCATGATACTCTGATTTCCAAATAAGATAGTCACCACCACTAAGAACTGCTCTCACTAGAGTATTCCAATCACCAGGAGTCAGCCACTCCTCTGCAACAGATTCTAAGATTGCAAGAGTAAAGGGAGCAGTGGCACCATATTGTGCCACTGAATTTTTTAATTTTTTAATAATTTGAAAATTAAACCCTGTGTGATGTCTCCATGCAACCCCTTGAGCGTCTCTAGTCTCTGATACAGGGAAAACCTCAGCCTCTCCCTCCTCTGGCTGATCTGTGGCTGAACTAAAACCAGAGGACAGGGGCTGCCTTTGGACTCCGGGTTGAGGAACTCGAGGACCTTAAGAATTTTCCTTGCCCTCTCAAGACATCTTCCCTGTCTTTAATTTTTGTAGCTGATTAATTAAGTCCTGATACTCTTCCTCTAACTCTATTTGTTGTTTAAGAAGAGAAATTTGTTGTTTAAGAAAAGAAATTTTGTCCTGCAACTCCTTTCTGGGATCTACAATCACCATCTCCATAGCAGAAGCATCTGGAGGTAGAGGAGCGCAGGGAGGGGGCCTTCGGGAAGTGGGCCATTCAGGGTCGAAATATTTGGCTCCCTCTTCCTCTAGGTCAGCACAATCTGGCTCTGACAAATCGATTACTTCAACCTTTGGTCATATTTTGGATTCTATGCTTTTCTTTTTCTTTTGAACATGAAAGACAGCATTTAAACAGCGAAACAAAAGCAAACAATTAACACACGTAAGCAGCAAACAACAAAACAAAAACAAAGTTGAATTCAGGCTGACTTATTTCTTGCCCCATTATCATTACTATGACCTACTGGTCTCCACATGGCAGTTTCCTGCCCAAATCACCTTTGTTTCACTTCTGAAGTTTCAGTCGACCCTTCTTCCGGTAACGTCCCTCACTGGGCCTCTCGTTCTTGCTGCCCCACATTGAGCACCACTTTGTAGCAACCTGTTGGGTCAGTCAACAGGGTCTCCAGCACAGGAGTGAGGATGCACGTTTCCAATTCCCGATGTGTCCTTCACTGTATCCCGCTTACTGGAACTCCAACATTGAGGCACCACTTTGTAGCTGCCCAAGCTGCCTCACATTCGGGAGGCCACTTTGTAATGGCCCATTCTGCTGCTCCGGTCCGCGGGTCAGGGCCTAGCAAGAGAGAGAGTGGGGATGGAGTCGCGAAGAATGGAGATAAGACAGGGAGTCTGATCAAGTCTCGTTTATTGGAAGGAAATCCTGTGTATTTATACCCTTTACCATGTGCTTTGCCCTCATGGACAAGCACAGCTGAAGGCACTATGTCATGTGCCTTGCAGCTTGGATATCATGCACAGCTAGCTAGCAGCATGGAGACCACGTGTACCTAGCTACTGGCGGCACTAAACAGCAAAACAAGATATGTGAGAAAAACAAGATGTTTATCAGAGTGTGCTTAGCTGTTGTGGGCTGTTGAAAACAAGTCTCTTGTCAGGGTATATGGCTCGAGATGGCTGTAAAGATGATAACCGCTTTCAGCTAGGAGTCGGCTCCCAACAGGACACTTGTTTGGAAGTGTTGTTTGCTCTTATTTTACCTAAAAAAAAAAAAAAAAAAAAAAAAAAAAAATCCACACTTACTTTTTAACAGATACAGAAAGCAGCCTGTTCAGAACCAGTATTTTTGTGTAATGGAGTAGACACAATCACTTAAAGAAATGAACGGGACTGCTGGCTGACTCCTCAGCAGGTAGCCACAAGCAGGCTGCTTTCACCCCTATGTAGCTAGAATAGTCCATCCTTCTAGAGAATGGAGGGCAAACTCACCTGGCTTTTAACTTCCCTGTCTATAAGAGTCCTCACTGGATGAAAAGGTCTAATGTTGCTCTGTTCCTCTTATCGCTCCATCTCGGGGTGAAAGTTCTAAGGAAGGCACATTTCTCGAATTCTTCACAACCTGATTACAGCCTGCAAACCTTCTTAATGATACTCAACTTAAGGGCACTTAAAACAGGTTAAATGGTAAATTTTATGTTAAGTATATTTTATCACAGCTCAAATGATTTAAAAATAGAGCCCGTTTGCCTCCTAGAGAGTTAGAGCACGCACGGGAATGGACGTTTTATTTTGCTGAATTATCAAAGCCTGGGGAAATTGGCCTTCATTACCTTCCCCACATCCCTGCTGGATAACAGGTCAGCTGATCTAGGCTGAGAGAAAGCTGGGTACTCACCTCAGAAGAAAGCTTTTAGCTGGTACCACCTGACTGCACAGACCAGCCTAATAACCAGACGCCTGTGCCAGGGGTCAATACAAAAAAAAATACAGTCACTGAACCCCAGCGACCTCAGTGACCTTTCCACAACCATTTAACTCAAGATCATTCTCAAGTTTGTCCCTTGGGAAAGTTTCCACACTCTACTTTGAATTTTCATGCATAAGAAACTCTACTTTCCAAAACCGCATAGGGTGTGGGGAACCTCGAGATTTCTAACTACATTTCTACCCCTTGGTAGAAACACATTGAAGTATCAATTGCCCCCCCAACAGAAAGTTTGGTTATTTTCTTTGAAAAGTATTCATTTCCTCCTTAACAGAAAACAACACGTGCATTCTTTCTGTACTGACACAGAAATTTTGCTATGCAAGTTGATTAATCTGTAAATCCAAAATCTGAAATTTTTTTGAGGTCAGGAGCACTACAATTTAATATATTAACTACAGGTTTTCTATAAAAGAGGTACCTGAAATATTAATGGGCTTCATGTTTAGACATAGATTCCATCCCCTCTATAGCTCATGTACAATGCTAATGTTCTAATGTCCCAGAAGTTCTAAAACGGATAAAGACATTTATTCCATAGTATGTCAGATAGTGTCCTCAACACCCGAGGATGCCAGAGCCCTAGTCAGGTCTGGCCCTGCTGTTGATTCTAAACAATGAGGTAGGCTATCGAGAAGGCATGTAAGTGAAACTGTTCACCTGGGATGTGTAACCCCCACCCCAGTTTCTTTCTCTCTTGCAGAAAGCCTCAGCCTAAGCCTGACACTACAACTATGTGGAATCTTGGCCAGCTTGTGATCAGGAGATAGGCTAGGGGCAGCTACTCTGTGTATATTGAATAGGGGTAGTGGTGGTTAGGGCTCTGATCTTGGATTTTGGTTTTGAGATGGGGTATTACTGTGTAGCTCAGACTGGCCTAGAATTCCCTGTGTAGCCTAGAGTGACCTCCAAGTTACAATTCTCCCACCTTTGCCTACCAAGTGCAGAGATTACTGGCCTGTGCCACCATGCCCTGGGCTGTTTGGATTGCGTTAATGCACTGTACCAGCAGACAGAAGCACTAAAGGGGACAGAACTGCTTTAAAATTAAATTTATTTTTTTTATTGCCAAATGATTCGTGTTTACTATATAAAATTTCAGGTAAACTGATGCTAAAGGCACCTAAGGTAATCATTTGGTATATTATATAATCTGTTAACATCTATGCGTATATTATTCTTTATAGCAACAAAAATTAAATATGATTAGTGGTGGTTTAAAGTGTGCAGTGAAGTAGAAACATTTGGTAGTTTTCTTTGGCGATGTCTGTCAGACCAAGTGATCCTTCTTGGCATCATGAATCTTCTACAGAGCACACAGAACTGGGAGACGCTAATGTGCTCACGTTCAGTATTCAAGGGTGCATTATTCCCTGCCCAAAGCCTGTGGTTTCTCAGCTGTTCAGTGAAATGCTTCATGCCCTTCCTGTACCCCACGCAAAGCAAAGCAAAGCAAAGTACAACTTTGTCTGTAGCCTCCGCTGCCCTTCTCCATCTTCTAATTGTATTACTTTCCTTCTTCTTAGATGGAGAGACAGATGTCAGTGAACTCCAGCATCATGGGCATGCAAGGTCCAAACCTCAGCAACCCCTGTGCTTCTCCCCAAGTCCAGCCAATGCATTCAGAAGCCAAGATGGTAAGTAAGAGCTTCAGTCATCCTTCCATTACATCATGCGTGTCGTAACACTGAGTTCTGTTCTGACTCCAAACCTCAGTTAAGAGAGCGCTCGTCTTTGTTCTGGTGAATAGGTATTTCTCTGGAAAGGTGGGTGAGAGATTGGCTTTGTCTTCCAGGTATTTGTTACAGGTTTTCTGCATCAGATAATCAGGTCCCGAGGATGTGATTGGCATGTGATATTAAGGACGAGGGTGTTGAGAAATTTGGAGAGGTGCCCAACTATGTGTTTATTAGCTCACTGTGTGAAAAAAACAAAATACTATAGAACTCTATATCCTAGTTACATCTTCGATGTCACTCTTCCTACCCAATGTCATGAAGACACATTTAATTCCTAAGTGTCCACAGTTACAGGAACACTGTATTATTGTTTTTATTTGGCATAGTTCTTAGGTGTGACACTGTTTAAAAGGTTGGGAGTCTTGTTTCTATCTATCTGTACTTGAAAGGCATGATCATACTTGACAACCTTCAGTGACCTTTAACCTATGATGTTTAGGGGCAGTGAGACCAGTCTTCCCATACTCCAAGGTCTATGTGTCTATACTCTACCATGTGTCTATATTAACCTGTTAATAAAGCAGGTTCTCGCCTGTCTTACCAAGATAAAGTGGATTTTCTGAGACTATTTAACGGAGTTACAGGAAGTACCGTATTCATTTCTAATATAGTTACATTCCAGCACCATAGTTCACACAGGTGACTGGAAGCACAGTACATTTCTTTTCCTTTCTTATTTGTTTGTATCAGATAAGAGTAGTGCTTTCTAGTCGTGGGCATGCATCTGAGACGCTGATGGGCAGCCTGGACTATGTGTGACAAGCGTTGTGAGGATGCTGTAAACCATTCTCAAAGTTATCCATCATGCTACATGGGCATGGAATCTGTCCTGGTACACCCCACTTCCCCCTACACACAGCCTGCTCTGTCACTACTTTTGGGAACCTCACTTATTTGACCTGTAATTTCTTGATCCCAGGAATCAACTGAACCCCTAGTGCTAGCAACCCTGGGCAAATGAAAACTATGGTTGAGAGGGCTCTCTTTGCTCTGCCACAGGCCCTGTGATGTGCCAGATGGCACAGCGTCCACAGCAAAGCTTGCTAAGTCTTTTTGGAATTGGCAAATATTTTTTCAACTCAACTGCCACAGAGCCAAACCAAATACTTGCTGGCAAAATAAAGTTCAAATTGGCATCTGTTTTGGAGACCACAGTAACGCCATTTACATCTCCCCCTTTTTTGAAGGAAAATAAAAATGAACTATAAAGGTGCCTAAGAAGAAACAAAATTAAACCATTTGTACGTGTATGAGTAAATGTGTCGAGGTCGGCTCTGTCACCTCCTGTTCCCAGCTAAAGAATCCTCAGTCTTCTTCCTTGCTATGGAATCTGTGTCCTTTTTTCAGACAAACTAGAGATGGAATGTAAAAAATATGATTTCAAACCATGTATCCCTGACAATTGATTATTACTGCGTCCTAAAATAACAATCTAACTAAAAAAATAACAAGAAAAAAAAAAGAGACAGAAAAAAGGAAAAGAAAATGCCACCTCTCTTCTTGCTGCCAAAGAAGGCAAATGCTTCCACAGGTGGTACAGGCTTATAATTATTTACACGCATGAACTGAATCACATGATATGGCAAATTAGCTCTGAGTAATGTCAGCTGGGAACAAAAGGGAACTGGTCTGTCTTTATAAAAATAGTGTTACCCCACAAATGTTTGCTGAGTTAAAATGCACGGAGTAAGCACCCCTCTGCTGATTCATGTTCTAAGTGAATAAATATTTCCAGGCTGGTGATGTCTGGACTCATGAACTTGATCTCAGAATCTGTGCCTGGGAAGCAGGCTTCTCTCTTTGCTCCCAGCTGTTGCCTCGGCTGTCCCTGCAGTGACCAAGACATTATTCCAGAGGGGAAAACAGCAGTGTTGGCTGCTAGTGTTTGAAAGAATAGCTTTCACGTAGCAGCTTGGAAAAGTGTCAGGTGGACTTGATCACGGCGGTCAGCATTTCTACTCTTGTTCTGTGTGTTTTGCCAGCTCCGTTATTGCCATCTTTAGCAGCTTTTGGGCTGCACAGATGAAAAGATTTGATGGAATACCAAGCATTCAAGGGGGAAAAAGTCTTCCATGATTTTAATGTCAGCCAGAGCCTCCCCAGGTTTCTCTGAACTACAGGCTTTGTTGTTCTACGCCTAATTTTCTTCCTGTGCGAGACCAGAATGGATTCCAGATTTCAATGGAGACTCTTGTTTCACTGTTTTCAAGGACTTTTCCTAAGGTCACACAGGGGCTTTTGTGATGAATGTCCTCGGCAGGGTGTGTTCTCAGAACACACTAACAAACAGCTACTGAGGGGGAGCCGGCCTCACCTCACCACTGCAGCCTGACACTCCTGAGGATATGGTGTCAGAGGCTGCATTTCAGATTCCCCATTGGCTCCTGACAAAAGTCATCATCCTGAACCTGAGACAGGGCTTACTTCAATATACAAGTTTGCTAGAGGCTTACTGACCAGGAACTGCCCGTTGGAGATATCTGTTTCCCTTGCTGGACATCATCTATTCTCTGCTGACAAAAAACAGACAAACAAACAAACAAAAAACAAACAAACAAACAAACAAAACCGGGGGTTCTTACCAAACTCAGAATTGTACTAATTTGGGGCAGTTTAATTAAAAATCACATGTGCTTATATTTGATTGATTGTACCTACCTTCATAGTAGCGCCGGTTAAAAGTTGTATAGGTTCTGAAGCTGGTGGCGAGCTGCTGTCACAGTTTTCCAAGTGCATACATACATATAGTCTTTCATTTGGGGATCGTGAATGAACTGAAGTCGCTGGAACCTTTACATCTCTCTAGTTATCCTAAATTACAAGACCTATCCACGGATTCTTGGGTTCTGGGTGTCTTAGTTGGAAGTGGAGTCTGCAAAGATGCAAGTACTAGGTGGGTAACATTAAAGGGAGAATGGGAAAGGAGTGGTGGGGGGATTGGGATGCGTATGATGATAGAGAGAAAAGGGGAAAGTGGAGGAAGGAGACAGAGAAGGAAAGGTAAATGCAAGGCATCATGGGACAGGCATCATTCTAGTCTGCAGCACAGAACTGAGGGAGAGTATGTGGGTGTGAGGTTCTCAGTCAGGACAGATGGCTCCTTTCCTTCCCCTCTGTCTTTTTCTTCTTTTCTTTTCTTTCCTTTCTTAGAGTGGTCCTATCAACTACCTCTCCAGGTCTTCTTTTATTTTTATTTTGAGAAAAGATCTTATGAAGTTACTCAACCTCACTTGAACTCACTAGGTAGCCCAGGCTGGCTTCAAACTTTTGATTCCCTTGACTCAACTTCCCAAGCGTGTGAGATTAGATTTCTTTTTGTGGGACTTAGACAAATTCTATCTAGCTTTGGGTGGGATTGTGTTGTCAAGGAATGTGCAGTAAGTCTGGATGCTGAATGAGCTGTGAGAACTTATCTATATCCCTGTCTTGAATCTTACCATAGACTAGGTGACTACCACAGTGTAGAAGCTGGTTAAAACGAACAACGGCACAGGGCCAGATGCTCTCAAAGGCTCTGCTTGATCTCTCAGTATTACCTTCAGTTCAAACAGGGTTAGTGAAGGCTGGAGAATATTGCTCCTAGGAAAAGAGTTGTGTATGGCTGTGTCTGACTCTGTCCCCAGAAAACACATGACAGAACACATTGCCCTTACTTGATAGTGTGGGAAAAGAGGTTTAAAAACTGGCTTAACGATGTATTATTTAGTAAAAACTCATTCTTGCTAGTGACAGTTCTAATGACAAAGATATTTTTTTGTTTTGGTCTGTTTGATGTAGAGTCTCATATAGCCTAGCTGGCCTCAGACTTCCTAGGTACCGTAGGTAGATAACCTTGAATTTTGAAACATCCTGTCTCCATCTATCTGAATGCTGGGATTATAGATGTGCACCGTCCTGCTTGCCTTATGCCACGGTTGGATTTGAACCCAGGGCTTCATGTGTACCATCCAAATACCACAGCCCAATGGCAAAGCTTTGATTACAACATTGAACTTTAGGATACAAATATGACAGAGCTACCAGATGTCAGTAGCTATCAGACTAAAGTCAATTACTTTAATGTACATTTGTACGTAGATGTTGGGGGCATGGTTAGTTTGAACTTCTGAATCAACACGATAGATTTGGAGTGTTTCCCCCTCCATTTTTCAAGAGCTTGGTGGACTCCCTCATGGATCCAACTCTGCTGCCTCTTCACCCAACACATTTTGTTGCCACTTTCTGCAACCTACACACACATCTCCCTCACTTGATTGACCGGGAAGCTCCTCATAAAGAATCCCTGAACTATGAAGGCCCCTCGAACTGTATAAGGCCCGTGAATGAAAGCAGGATGTAACTCAGCTGCCTAAAGTACAGTTTAAACTATGCAAGAAACCAGTGCTACTAAGGAGATGTGTGAAATGGGGCAGGTAGAGAAGAAGGATGGGGCTGAGAAGGAGAGAATAAAACCACAGAAATTCTAAGCTAAGTGATGCACTTGTAAGGAATAGCCAGCCAAATTTAATTTTTTTGGAAAGATATCTCAACAGTGCCCATTATGCTTTTTTCTTGAGAGGAAAGATACACACACACACACACACACACACACACACACACACACACACATTAGAAAACAGAGTTTTGAATAATGCTATTCTTCTCCTACGAATTGAAGGCAATTTACACCCAGTGATGTTTCTTCCATTATAATGCACTGACTGGTCAGGCTGGATTTCACTCATTGATGGTCAATAGTTCATCTATAGGGGTGATAGCTGTTAATTGAATAACTACTTAAATATGTGCCTGTGGGAATGAACACAGAAATAAAAGACTGGAGAGGAGAGACCTGAAGGGGATTGGGGCACTAAGACAAGCCCTTTACTGGAGCAAGGGGGCTACAGCTCTAGAGAGAC